CCTCCCCGCTGTTCAGAGGGGAGGCAGCGTGCAGGGCCCAGCGCCGTGAGAACGTGGGGCCCCTCGTCCAGACGTTAGTGAGAATTCAAAGACAGCAGCAGAGACTGAGCTGCCGAATGTGGGGCTCCGTGCAGCTGAACAGCCCGTGAAGCTAGTCCCAGAGCAGTGATGTGCGCGCGCATGCATGTTCCTGTGCATGTGCGCGCGCACATGTGTGTGTTTTCTGTGCACATACATGTGTGTATCCAGATGCACACACATGTGTATGCGCGTATTGTGTGCAAGTGAGGGTTTCTGTGTGTGCATGAGTGCAACCAGGTGCACAGTCTATATACACGTGCACACATGTTTGTATGTGTGTTATGTACATGCACGTACATGTGAGGGTTTCTGTGCACATGTATGCTTCTGTGCATATATACGCACGTGTATGTACATGTCCAGGTGCACATGTGTGTATACCTATGTACATGTGCACACACGTGTGTTGTGTACAAGTGAGTGTTTCTGTGTGTTCATGTGTGTACATGTCCAGGTGCACATATGTGCACATCTATATACACATGTGTGCGCACGTGTGTTGTGTGCCAGTGAGGGTTTCTGAGGCCGAGAGCAGGTCCCAGCGCCCTGGGCTTTCCCGCCAGAGCGGGGGGGGGGGGCCCTCGGAGGCCACGGCGTCTCCCGAGTTCCTGACTGTGACGGGCGGAGGCTTCCAGAAAGCTGGTGACCGCGAACAGTCCAACACGCTGAGGTGCACACGGGCAGGGACACATGTGTGCCCTCACACGTGGCACACGCTGCCCAGCACCCACTAGGACAGCGCCTCGCCCAGCAGCCTGGGTGGTCTGGTCGCCTCACAGGGTGAAGTTCTGAGAACATTTTCCTGACGAGCAGCCAGAATTTCCACTTCCCGCGCCCAGGGCTGGGGCTCTGCTCCCCCTCCTGCCAGCCTCGCCCGCCCGCACCCCCACGGCCCCCAGGGCTCAGGGCGGCCCTCGTCCTGGCCTGGGCACGGCCTGCGGCCTGAGCTGCTCTCTGGTCGCACAGGGACAGCCCACCTCCTGGGAAGCCTGTCTCAGAGCCTCCACCTTCGCAGGGCACCTTCCTGAGATTGCCCAGGCGGCCCCACCCCCGCAGGCCCCCCACAGAATGACCCCAAAACGACCCCCAGGACAACCCCTCCAAGGACAGCCCCCC